ATTTCAATGTCAATTTCTTCTATCCTTTCTGTTACGAAAAAACAACCTATTTAGTTATGTACAAATTAGCCTCAATATTCAGTTGTTAGAGTTCATCGATTATTTGCTTCTGAGCAGTCAAGGGCTATCATAGGGGTGGCATTGTTTCTGTTGAAGTTGTCTGACGCCTCATTTTGCATCTTACCAACAAGTGTTCTCTGCTTAGTTGTTCTGTAAATCCCGATCGTTATGTATATATATTGGCTGTACATATACATTAACAAATGAATATATATGCGTTTTTTGTGTTTTTATATACTTTTTTTTTTATTAAAACGATGTTTCTAAATAAATAAAAATAAATAAATAAATAAAAACTCCAATGAAAATAGTACCAAGAAACATTCTCATAAAATGAAATACAATTAATTAATTAATTAATTAATATATATATTTTTTTTAATATAACAGGAAGTATTTTCTTATTGAGCGCAGAATAATTTTATATTTTAAAAATGTCATTGAAATTTATTGCGATCAACTTACCAACCAAGAAATTTAATTAAATTATATTCTTGTATTTTTTAGAAGTTATAATGAAGAAAGTTTACTACTTTTAATAAAGCTCCAACTAACTTCCAATAAAATCGAGCTTCTACGATTTCTCTCTTGTTTTATAGATCCTTGTTTTTTTCACCGAATTAAAATTTCAGTTCAATTTTAATAAAGAATAAAAAAATGATAATTTCATTGTAGTTCTTCTTTTTTTGTTTTAGTATTAATAATTATTTAAATATTACAGAAATAATATAAAATATAGATGCAATCAAATACATATTAATCCTTATATCATACAAAATTTAGTACTTATGTCCACAATAAATCGTGTTCACCATTGTAACGCATGTTTTAATCTAATAAAACGAAAATTTCGGACTGTTGAGGCATTAGTCCTATGACGAAATTACACCAGTCAATTTTAGTGAAAGTGTACATCTGAAAAATTTGTAACCCGAGGACATACAAATCTATAGTTTAATAATAGCAATAAAACAAAAAAAAATAGTAATAAACAAAGTCTAAATATACATTAAAGTATGATTCCTCTGATTATGTATTTCTCAGATGTACACAGTCTCGAAAAATTGGTTTATGTTAAAATTTACTCAATGATACCAGAATGGGTGGGAGTTTGGCCTATATATAAATAAATTAATTTTAATAATGAAGAATAATAAATCCTAGATATTATTAATATGTCTACAATAGTATCCTTCCAGGTATCTTCACTGGTGAATATAAAATAATTATACCAATTTGATAACGATGATGTAAAAATATTACAAAAACAAAACAAATAACAGGAAATAAAAAAATGAATATAATTTGCAAAAGCATAAAATAAAAGATAAATTGTATAGCTAATGTACAAAACATAGGACTATATTATGTTGAAATTATAAATAAAATTAATATTTAATAAATAAAAAAAAATAGAAACAAAATTAACCAAAGGATTATAAATAATGCTTTCGAAATCCCTTAAAAAGAGGATTCATTCAATCTTTCTGAAATAAAGGATATAAGTGACAGAGAGTAAGTAGTATAATTGTTTCCTAGCTGATAATAAATTTTAATTAGAATAATATAAGAGCAGTTAAAATTTGTTATTATAGTTTTAATAATGACAAGTAATATTCATGAATAATGCAAGATATATAACGATTGATAAATGATATTAACTAGTGATTTAGCATATATATATATATATATATATATATATATATATATATATATATATATATATATATATATATATATATATATATATATATACAATTAAAAAAATTAAAGAATTATACATTAAATTTTTGCCAAATTCCAATACAAAAGAATATTTTATCATAGCGTTATTTTATTATATTTTTTTTATTACAGAAATTTGCAACTGTATTAAGTAATAAATATAAGTAAATATAAACAAGTAACGTGACATGTACAACATGAAGAGAAACTACATATTGGTAGCACTCCAATTGCGTCATTTTTAAATAGAAAATGTACGTTGGGTTGATAGGAATTGTTTGACCTTTCAGATAGAAGAGCATGAAAATTATTTTCAGACAAGTATGATTTTTTTTTTTTTATTGATGATATTTACAACTGTATTAAAAATAAATATACATTCAATAAATGTGAACAAAATAATATAATAACATGAAACCACTTGTTGAGAAACTACCCACTGGTGGCACACTAAAAATGTATTTACAAAAGGAGATCTCCAGGCCATCTTCTTTTCAGATGGCTCGGAGGAGTAAGATTTAAAAATAAAAAAAACATTGACGGAAGTCTTGGATACAACAATTATCTAAAAACACAATGAAACTTTTAGCAATATTCTTGGATTAATAACTGAATCGTTAAAATCATTATTTATATATATATATTTTTTACAATTGTAAAATATGAGCCTATCCATATACGAGTGTCCCGTTAGTAGATGAAAGTATAGGAGTGATATTAGAACTCAAACGCTAAAACATTTTTTTTTTTTGGCAGAAAATTAGAAAATTTAAATTTTGTGTTTTTATGTAAGCCATGTTTTTTGTTTAAAAAGAAGCTATAACTAAAGAAATATTTAATTCAATTAATTTTAAATGACTTGACTGTAAGATAAAAAAATTAAGTTCAAATGAAAATAGAGTTTATCATTATTGAAACCATTTAAAGAGAACTTTTTGGAGGGTTCACTAAGCTAAGTTCTCTCATTGAAAAAAATCATAAATTTTTAGAGATTTTTTTTTATCGTTCTCCAACTATACTACAGATACCCCATCTTTATAAAAAACGCACCCTTTTACTAAGTTTTAAGTCCAAATTAATAAAGCTGAAGTATATTAGAAAAAACTGGAGATTCGCCACAAGTTGTCTACAAAAATGATGTGATTATATATCCTGCAATTAAAAAGTACTCGTGTTTTCAGCAAAAACGATTACATCAAATTATTGTAGAGCTTTTATTTCTTGTTTTCATGCGAAGAGTTTTGAAATTATCTTTAACCTTAACAAGAAATTGCAAAGAAATAAGATTATAGATAATGATTTTAATACTACCAGGACCCAAAAATCGACCTAATCTCAGGCAAAGGTTGATTGCAAATTACGAAAGTGTATGTTATTCTGAGTAAAAAGAACCTTGTCTTCCATTCCATAGCAGCTGCTTTAAAAAATGGCGTCTGATTAAAAAAAATATTAGGCCAGTAATTTGAGGATCGAAACGGGAAATACATTGAAAAAAAATGTGGGAAAAGTTTAAATTTTTATACATGTATTTATGGGTTCAGACATGTAATGATTACAATTGCTAACGCGGGTTATCAAGGGAAAACTGTTTACGGAGAAAAAAGTCGAATTTTTTTTCTTTCACCTATGACTCCTGAACGATGTATCAATGAAAGCGAAAAATGCCTTCTTTAATAGATTAAAGAAAATTCAATCTTGATATGAAAGAGTACATAAACCTTATAATTTGGTAACGTGGTGACGTATACAACCACGTTCGACCAACGCTGATTTTTACCAAATTTGTCCAAGAATGAAACAAATTAAACAAATAAATAAACAAATTAAACAAATTATAAATAACTTGGAAATTAGTTCCCTAAGACAAAAAAACCCATAGAGTCAAAGTTGTAGAGTATCAAATTTAGCGTCCACTGAAAACTGATATTTTTGTTTGAGGCCAATTACATTATCTCAAATACTTATCAAATTATATTACGAATTATACGAATCGAGGAATAATTCATTATTCCTTTATGAAATTCGGTATCTTTCGACACATCGTTTATCGAAATCCACAGAAGCAGAACAAAAATAATTCAGAAGAATAGACACTAATACTGTTAAAATATTAAAAATCAGGTTTACCTTCATCACCAATATCTAACCAGTGGGAGATTACCGATTATGTTCAGAGTAAGAGACCTATATTAAATTAGTTGGTACTCGCTGGATGCAAAATTTGATGCTCCACAACTTTGATACCTGTTTTTTTTTCTCATAAGGAACTCATTTCCAAGTTGCTGGGCCATTTATAGTAATTTGTCTCAGTTGCTGACAAATTTGGTAAACAACGGCGTTGATTGACCGTGGGTTTATACCTTACCAAGTAACAAAATTATAAAGCTTATGTACTTGTTCGACGCAAAATTTAACGTTATTTAATTTATTACATATTACATTTTTCTCTTTGATACATCGTTTAGGAATTATAAGTGAAAAAACAAAAAAAAACACATCTACTTTTTTTAGCTGGAAAAAGAATTCCCTTGGTGGCTCGCGTTAGCAATTTTTCTTTTTACATGTCTAAACCCAGATATACAAGTTGAAAACTATAAACTTTCTCACGTTTTTCGCAGTGAATTTCTCGTTTCGATCCTCAAATTATGTTCTTTAAATCAGCCGCCATTTTCGTAAGCAGAGGCTCTGGAACGGTAGACAAGGTCCTTTTTACCCGGAAGAACATACACTTTCGTAATTTACAGTCAAACTTTCGCCTGCGATGAGGTCAATTTTTGGGCCCTGGCTCCAGGGCTATTACTGGACATTCTGCATAACGTGACTCAAACGATTGTTTCCAAGAGGATACCACTTGTATACTGAAACTCCAAAAACATCCAAGGAGATATTTATACTTAGCCGAAATATTTATATTTTATTTTTTGGGTATTCTACCAGATTTCTTTAGACCAAAAAAAAATAATAATAATAAGAACCTCGGATATGAATACAACATTTAATAACCATAACTTAAAAACCAGTTTTGCCGACTTAAACATGCAGTATTTTTTTTTTTTGCCGCCTGGTATCCAGGATATGTAAAAGAAACCTGGTCATCTGTCCGATGGCTCTTAAGCCCCGTTGTTACCTAAGCCCTGAATTTCCACTTCTGGATCAGCCAGGTGGGGGTGGAGCCCTTTATATATAATTCCCTGCAAGAAAGCGTTACAGCACCACAACACTCAAACTCACTCTTCGATATGGCTCGTCTGGTAAGTTGGATGTAATTTTTAAAATATTTAATTATTTAAAACTAATCAGTATATATGAATTTATTTAAATATAAGCTATTTTAAGTTTCCTTATTATTTATTTTTCCTTTGAGTTGCTTATGATTTATTCACTTTCCAATCACTTGTTATTTTATTTTTTTTAAATTTATTTTTCTTCAATTTGCTTTTATTTATTTTTATTGTAATTTCATTTAAATATCTGTATCCGATAAATCCGTCAATCATCAATTAACTTCATAACATATGCACAACTAAATTAAATATAAAAACGATTTGATGTCGAAAAACATCATCGACGGTGTTAAATAATTAGGCAGGTTGTTTAAAAAAAGTAGATGAAATAACGGTAGAGAAACTCTTTAATCGGATCCTGTCACATTATAAAATCTGTTAATGTAGAAATTTATCAGGTTTACGTTACATAGCCTATCATTTTATTAATGTTTAATAAAAAAGATTAAAAATAAATAAATTAAAAAAAATAGAACGCTCTATCAAGCAGATTCTAAATAGAAAAAAACCCGATATAATATCATATATACTAATAAGACAAAGAAAAACAAATATATAATGAATCTGTTATTAAAACATCCTCCTGAAAATAAAATAATTTTTATATTTAAATTCAACATTTTTTTTAGATGCAATCTAAAATACGGAAAAATGTAACTAGTAAAACAAAAAAGGAAGGAAAGGAAGATACTCTCTCAGGAAAATGAGCATTTGCCGCGGGATCGGTTTCAGATAACAATTTAACATTTAACAGCAAAATGCATATCGAATCCGGTTCTACCGCTTTCCATTATCAAAAGTCAACTTTCTTTTTGCCTCTTGGCGATTATAATGGACACAATAATACACAAGAAGGACACGTTTTTTTGTTTAAGTAATCGTGATAGGATTTTTTAAAAATTATATGACACAAATGTAGTTATAAATATTCATAACATAAACGGATGCACAAATAATGGTTCAAAAAGATATAGTTTAAATTAATGATTCAACTCGAAAGAGGAAAAAAAAACTACTATAATCTGAATAATAATTTATTTTAGTATAGAATTGTTTTCTTTGAAATTAAATTCTTTCTATTGCGGTCTGAAAATTTCTCATTAATACAATAATCACTACTGAGATGATACTCACTTGCTATCTCATCCGTCGTTGTATCGAGTATGATTGTGCCCATGAATCTAGATGTTTGTACTAGATCGAGGTCGAGGTCAGGCCAGGCGACCCAATATTTTTGCAAATCACATTTTTCTCTCGAATTATCTTATGGAAGTTATCGAAATAGTAATCTAGTATCTATTATCAACAAGTCAGAATAACGATGTTATGTAGGCCAAATGGTCCCATGTTTTTGGTGGCCACCTTTTTCCTCGATTATGTGATCTTAAGATTCATAGGAAAGAAAATGTTGTCTTAGTTCCCTATTAAACTAATTTATTTAATGATAAAATGTTTCATCTCAGAGCATTTTCGTAGATTATAAAGTTTACGATAAGGTCAAGTATTTCACGAAGTTTCAGATGTTATATATAATTTGATTATCTGCGCGGACTTATTGAAAACTAGCTGATTTATAAATATATCATATTTTATTTATGATTTTCACTAATTTCTGCTAAATCGATCTAACTGTGATGATATTAAACTATGGAGAGATAATTTATATCTATTAAGAACTCAAATTCAGAAAGACATAAACAATCAATATGTAATTAAAGTTCAGAATTCGGAAACTTTCACTTTTTATCCTCATTTAGATTCAGTAAATTATATTGATGACAAAAACTAATTGAAGGTGATCAGATGGGTAATTAAAATTAGAGCTGATGTTTTGAACTTAAATTATAAACACTTCAAGCAAAACAAATAATATTTGTAGTATGTTTAATACAAACGAAACAGAAGATCTCTATCACGTTTCCCGATACTCTCCGAATTTAGAATTAAATGGTCATCAGACAAACACAGTACGTTACCTGGGACTAATATTCGACAGAAGGATGACCTGGAGTCCACAAATTGAAACGACAGACCTAAAACAAGCGACTGAAAATACTGTACTCATTTTTTTCCAAATCAAAATTGAAAATCAGTCAAAAACGTAATACATACACTTACCTACTCAAACCTGTATGGGACATACGCCTCACAAATTTATGGTTCTGCTAAAAAGATATACTTACAAAAACTACAAACATTTCAATCCAAAAATTGTACGGGATCTCCTTGGTACGTAAACAACAAAACTTTACATAACGACTAACGACAACCAACTATCGACCAACACATACGTGATCTCTACTCCAGATTTCATCTTAAACTACACGGTTATTACAACGGACTTATTAACAACATGGCCACAACAGCTGACATGCATATCAGGAGACGACTAAAGAGGAGCTGGATGAGAGATCTCTTTTCTTGAATTAAGGAAATAAATCAAGACCAGGAAGAAGTGCTGCTGGGTACTATTTTTTCCCTCATGCCTAAAATGTCAATTTTTCTTATTAGTTACAGCACATCTCCTTATTGTCAAGCTCATGACAATTGCGGATGGAAATATGAAAACATAAAATGGTTAAAATCTAGAAATTTAAATCGGGATCAAGTGATACATTTAATAAATGGAAACAATTGGATAGCATTGACAAATTACTGAAAGTCTACTTTCTCCTATAGAATAATGCTCACCAAAGAATTTAACAATTAATAAATTGGAGAATTTCGGAACCACTCTTTTTGTAATTAAGATATTTATAGGACTTTTACATTGTAAATATAATTGTTCTTATTTTCTTATTAATTAGTTGTAAATAAATAGATTGAAATATAAGTTTGTCATAAAACACATACTCCTCTTACGGTCAACATACCATGTAGCACGTCTGATTTTCGGTTTTACATCCTAAAATATTATTTTGTGTTGTCTTGTAATTTATGTTATGTAATTTTAATTAATAAAAAGACTTTTTCTTTTTCTTGTTCTTCTCTTCTAACGAGGAAATATACCATTTCAGAGACTTTTCTTAGATTATAATATTTACGATAAGGTCAAGTATTTCACGAAGTTTCAGATGTTATATATTATTTGATAAAACGGATTATTTGAGCGGACTTACTGAAAATTAGCTAATTTATAAATATGTCATATTTTATATGACTGTCACTAATTTCTGCTTTCCCCGCAGGCTGTCTTGGCTGTGCTGGTTCTGGTGGCGGTAGCTTACTCTGAAGCTCAGGTAGCTGGGGACTCCTACGACCCCAACCCGCAGTACTCTTACTCCTACTCCTCCAATGACCCCGTGACCGGGGACAATCACGGCCAGAGCGAGACCAGGCAAGGAGATGTCGTCCAGGGCAGCTACTCTCTCACGGAAGCCGACGGCTCCATCAGGACCGTCCAGTACACAGCTGACCCCGTCCACGGATTCAACGCCGAAGTTCACAGAACATAGAAATCTAGTCCAGGCGTCGACGCACTAGTTACCTGAATCCTATTTGAAGTGATACAACGATTTATGTTGAGAAAAGACTAAATTTTATTTGTTTTTTAAATGTTTTTTATTATATAAAATTATAAATAAAAATATAATAATAATGTTTATGTTTATTTCATAATGTACTGACCGAAAACAATCTATTAATTTTTTTTTTTATTAAAAGTTCTTAAATGATAGGAAATATTTCAGAAAAGTATTCTGGTAGAAATGAATATACACATTTATAGAGATGTTTATTCATATGAGACAATAATAAATTTTGTTTGAACAGGGAAAAATAATCTGAATTACCTAAAACTAAATTTATTCTAGGAAATGTCTCCTAAACATAACAGCTGTTTACAGAAAAATACAGCTTATTCCTAGCCAAAAGATCAGATAAAATTAAATAAAAAAATAGAAGCAAAAGAAATACTAATATAAATCAAATAAAATTGAATAGTAATGATAAATTTACATTATCACTAATTTAAATAAATCCTAATAAATTTAAGTTTGTATTCAAAGGTAAAAAACCTGAGTAATAGAAATGGAATCATATATATTGAAATAAGAAAGTTTTAAGTGCGAAATAGATAAAAACACGTCGAATTTGAAGGGAGAAGAAATTCTAAAATGTGGTGGAGAGGGAACAGATCTGTATACAGGTGTATAAAGGTCAGAGGATCTAGATCATGTGGTGACTGGATGTGGAACTTGAACTAGAGTAGATTATAGAAAATGTGTCTAGAAAAAATTATCTATGAAAGGAGGATAAGAACAACCCTGACTTAGGGTAGAAGTGGCAGACACAGGGACGTTTTGGGGTCCCGCTTATAAATCATTTAAAGCCATTCAAACGTTTCTTCAGATAAAAAATTACGGTTCTTCAAAAATGTGGTAAACAATTAACCAAACAACATGTCGTTAATTCAAGTATGATTTTATTGAATGATAACATAAAACATGTGACCACATAAATTTATACCAGATGCATAATACATCACATAAATAGAAACAAAAATGCATCAAAGAGCATTCATTATCAAGAGACAGGTCATCCAAGACTATTTAGGTTGTGTAGTGGAGTACTCCAGGATTTAAAGAATGCTATATGTGTTTGATGTTCTCTAGTCGTCTATCGTCTCTAGCCTAGACGCATATTTTTTGGACTGTTGATGTGCTAGGCAAAAGTAAAAAAAAAAAAAGAGTAATTTTTGTTAATAAAAATAAATCATAATAATATAAAATAAAGAAACTTGTACTACTACAACTAATTAAGGTTCTTGAGTTCAGCACTTTGTAAGGAAATGCTATTTCAAGTCTAATGTTTGTGCAGGGAGGTGATTGGACCGAGATCACGCTCAAAGCGCAAGGTTTTTATCTGTGAATTAATTATTTAATTGAGAGTAGCCACTTTAGTGTCCCAGGAGTGTACTCCTGATGCCACGGTCGATCTATGGCTGAAGTAACACAATAAATAATTACCGGTCACTGCCGGACTCAAACCGTTATAAATCTAGGAAATCAGTATCTTACTCACTGGGCTACCACGCTCACAAGAAATTATAAATAGCCCTATATTTCAAACTATCAAACAACGAAGCCTGAAATATTCATATTTTTCATTAATACTTTTGTTTGATTTTTTCACCTCTACTATTTTCATGAATTAAGGATATCGAAGATTGATATGAGTGTATACGGTATCTTTTTTTGATATATCGAAATTTTCGAAAACTATCAAAATGATACTCATCAAAATTTATTTTTTAAATTTACATCCCTACTGAGTAATAAGGACATTAAGCGAATGTTAAATTAAGGGACCTCGGTTAACGCACAATTAGTGTAGGATTGCTCAAATATTTTTCTAAAGACTTCTTGTCTAAAAAGGAACAATAATAATTTAAATTGCTTTGATCTAACAGTTAAGTAATAGAGTAGTCGTTGAATTGAAACATTTAACAAGTATACCACATGTCACACTGTGCTAAATGCATAATGGAATAATAAACTATTCAACAACTTCTCTAATAATAGAGGAGATCTTGGTTGTATGTCAAGTCGTTTATTCCTTGCAAGTTGAAGATTCAGTCTATATGATCACCTGACGAGGACGAAGCTTGAGTTGTGAAGGCTACGCCAACTCGTTGGAACTTGGATAAAACTTTGCGCCAAAGATGCAGATATCTCCGAAATGGTAACTCCGCCTCCGTCTTCCCCTCCCCCGCAACCTCCTCCTAACTCCCCTCCTCCCCTCTCCCCCCCAGTCAATGGGAATCACAGAAATCTGAATTATTTCGTAATGAACATGAGAAACTTGGAATATCTTCCATTGTTGGAATTCGTTTGAAGGGACTCATCTGTAACCGGAATAAACTTAGATGAAACAAATTGAATATTCAATTTTCTCTGGTTCTGACAAGGAATTAGTTACTTCCAGAGAGAGTTAAAATTAAATTGCTTTTGTTGAAGAACATTGGAAATTGTTTTCGAGAAAAAAACAATATTAGGTTCGCAGTTAGTTCTCATTTTTTTCTCAGTTGGTTTCAGATTTCTCGGGATATTGAGATTTCCATAATAATAAAACTGAAACGAAACTGAAAAAAAATGTTTCGTATTATATTATAACAAAACAAACTTAAGTTACGTGACATTTAAACGAACGAGTACTAAATAATAGGGTTTATACATATTAATTGTATTTTTCCTGTGAAATATTAGACGATTGAAATTTATTGAAAGTCATTGAATGTGGACGGACGGATATTATTCATAATTATTAGAACAAATAGATCAAGATATTGTTGTTTCAGAGACGTCTGATTTGTATTGGGTCATCTTCATCGGGCATTTTTAAATCAAATGCGATGAAAACTGGATGCAGGGATAATTGAAAGGTAAATACTATAAAGTATAGGGAATTTGGTCAAAATGGCGGCATGATCATTTTTTCTCACGTCCTTAGCTCCTCTATATTGAGTTAAAGAATTCTAATAACGTCTTATTTGGAATTATTTTTGTTTCTTTTTAAATACAATAAGCTCTATGTAGTCTCAATTTCCATCCTATAGGATAAGAGGTCACCTTTTTAAACTAGTTGTTGTTAAAGAGTAAAACGTAGGTCAATAAATTTTAAGTATGCCTGCACCTTCTTTTCATGCAATTTATAAACGGCACTCATATTCTTATGTTCTACATAAATTTTTTTTTTTGGTTTATTGATAAATATTACAATCTGTCTCAATAAAGGACATTTATAATAGAGTTCTGAGAGCACATTCACACCATATTTACAAATTAAAAAAAAAAAATAAATAAATAAATAAAATAAGCTAACTTCAAATAATATAAAGCTACAAAAGAACAAAATAAAATATCATAGTGAGAAAAAAAAAAAAAGTAATGAAAATAAACATCTTAGACGCAGGCATACCTATTACACTATTTACAGTCGGCCATAGGAACTCCGAACCATACTTATCCCCCCGTGGACACGTGGAGGGAAAGCAAGGTTTTAGGAGATCCCTGCGCTTCTTCCTCAACCATTTCACTGGCATTGAAAGCCAGCAGAGATTGAGTAAGGGCGCTACAACCACGGACACTCATGACTTGAGTGGAGAATCTGGCCATTGCCAGAACTCCAGTATATGCATGTTACAAAAGGTCACGGGGCCGTTTCAGCATGCGAGAAGGATTGTAGGGATGAGTGGTGCTAGATAGGGATTGTGCTACGGGATTAGGGTAATGGGTAAGGTTCTGATGAAATTTGGAGAATTTTTCTGGGATAAGATCAAGAATAAATGGAATATTAAGGTCATTGTGCAGGGTTTTATCAGAGACATAAAAGGGAGCATCGACTATTGTACGGAGGACTTTGGACTGGAAGGATTGAATGCGTTTGATGTTAGAAAATTTGGTTGTCCCCCACAGTTCTAGTCCGTAGGTCCACATGGGTTTTAATATTGTCTTGTAGATCAGTAGTTTGTTTTCAATAGAAAGTTTAGATTTTCTATTAAGTAGTCTATATAGCTGGCCATAACGTCGGTTAAGTTCCTGTCTTTTCAGTCTAGTATGCGGATTCCACGTTAGTCGTCTGTCTAGGAGAAAACCAAGGTACCGGACTGTGTCGCAGAAGGGAAGCTGGATGGTATTAAAGTAAACTGGTGGACAGGACTTACGACGAAGGGTGAAGGTTATATGTTTACATTTGGATTCATTGACTTTGATGCGCCATTTCTTGCACCAGTGTTCAATCAAGGATAGGTGCCGTTGCAGTTTACTGGACGCTGTTTCAGGATCTGAGTTAGAAGATAGGATCGCAGTGTCATCAGCGAAAGTTGCCAGGAGTGTATCGGGATGGACGGGAATGTCAGCGGTATAGATGATGTAAAGGATGGGACCCAAGACGCTGCCTTGAGGAACTCCAGCCTCAATTGAATAACAGTCGGAAAATTCTGTAGGATTGGAGGATTAGGTATAAGGACTGTGGTAGATGGGAATTGAGCTTGAAGAGCAGTCCGGCGTGCCACACCCGGTCAAAAGCTTGTGCTATGTCCAGAAATGCACTCGAACAAAACTGCTTGTTTTCTATGGCTGAGGATATGTGGTCAACAACTCGGAGTCCTTGTTGGACGGTAGAATGTTGGGAACGGAATCCAAATTGATGGTTAGGGATTTTACGGGAGTCTATTAAGGGTAGGATTCTTTTCAGGAGGATCTTTTCAAAAATTTTTGAAAGATTTGGGAGTAGGCTAATTGGTCTATTGGATGATGTATTATTGGGAGGCTTGCCTGGTTTCAGGAAAAGGATGATGGTGGAATGTTTCCATAGGAGAGGGAAGTGGGTAGTTCGGAGGATACAATTGTATATATAGGTTAGAAATATGATGGCTTTGGATGGTAGTTGTCGTAGGATCTGCGGGGTTAGAAGGTCGTATCCAGGAGATTTACGAGGAGTGATTTTGCGTAATAGGTATTTGACCTCAGAGGGATTTACTGCTTTAGGTGCTAAGGAGAGTGGGATAGGTGAAGAAAGGAATTCTTCTACTTTTACTGTGTGGGTAGGATGAGATTCCGGATGAGGAGCGAAAGTATAGGAAAGGTGTTTGGCAAACTCCTCGGCTTTATCTTCATCAAATGCTGTCCAGGAGCCATCACCTCGTCGAAGAGGATGGGAAATATAATGGGATTTGAGGATTTTTTTGGTGAAATTCCAAAGGGAATTATCATGAGCAGAGAGTGTGGTGAGGTGGGAATTGAATGATTGGGATCTGAAGGTGGCTAATTCTTGTTTTAATTTTTTACAGTGATAATTGTAGGAGTGGCGGTCGGCTGGATGTCTGGTACGTTGCCATAATAATCTGGCACGGCGTTTTATGTGGATTAGGTCAAGGAGGTGTTGAGGTAAATTATGTTTCTTAAGGATTTTTGAGGAGTGATCAGGGGAGGAAGCAGTCCAGACTGCTTCTTGAATTTTGGTAGTGAAGGAATGTACTGCATTGTCCAGGTCTTCGGGAGTTTTCAGGGTTACTCTGAGGTCAATTTTATCGGAGAGGATTTGATGAAAGAGTTTCCAGTTAACTGGGCCTCTGATGAAGGATAGTGGAGAGGGTTTAGGAATAGGAGCTAATGATACTTGGAATATTAATGGGCTGTGGTCTGAGGAAAGCTCATCAAGATGGGCAAGGGGATGGTGGAGGGTACCTAAACCTTTGTGGATAAAGAAATCCAGGATATTGGAATTACGGTTAGGGTCAGTGCGCCAGTAGGTAGG